GGACTTCATCCATGCGGCGATTTATCAGCTTCAATTCTTCGAATTTTTGTAGAATCACCTCGAGCATCAGCAGTAATCCTTTTCGGCTGCTGCTACCACAAGTTAAGTGTTGAGTCCTGCGACGGGCAAGCCATTGATGAGGTTGGTTCGATCCTTCACAGCTGCGATATTCACAAATTTCCATTTTCAAGAGTTTGCCGCACAATTTGGGATTTCCATTGAGTTCAAAGTTTGGTAAAGCGACAATTTCGTACACAGCGCGTGACCTTGCTTGTCATGGAAATGAGAGTTTTGCTGAACAACTACTGACAAAGGTGCGTATCAATGAATACCTTCTTGTTCAGTCTAAACTTGAATTTTGAAATGTATTGTTTTTTAACGTTCATATGAACCACCAGCGCGATCTCGTCCGGATTCCAAGGGTTAACATAGGGCACACTCCTGACCAGGATATTGGTCTCTAAGTCCCTGTTGCATCGACGCACGAACAGTGGCAGATGCTGTATATTCTAGTTACTTAACTTGACACCATAAGTGCCACGTTGAGTCGTTGGGGTTCTGGTGCGAATGCCGCGCACGTGACCTCGCCGACTCGCCGCTACATGAAATTAGCGACCCACACCCTCCTTGCCGTATTCAAAGCGTGTATTGTTGCGCGGCGAGAATATTTTTTGCGTTCCCGCATGTGTAGCCAGCTTTGCTCTGGAGTATTCACGAGTTGCCTCTGCCGTCGCGGCTGAGGGTCGCCTGTGGTCTGCAATGCTGCACATAGTTTAGAACACGTCCCGCAATAATTCAGTAGCTGTTTCACAATTTCATTATCTGCTGCAGATTGCAGATCGATTCCGACTGTTTAGTTTTAAGATTTCAGCCGAGGAGTTCATTTCCGTACACAGTGTTACCGTGCTGTACTCGACTGGTTGATTGCTAATCACAAGGACTACACGATCCGCAAGCAAAGGACGGCACTTGTCCCGTCTTCAGTGACAAGCACGGAGGGCATGACATTCGAGGAGTACGCGCGGCAAGCGCTAGTTCGACATCCTGACCTCGTAGATGTCATTAAGGAGCAGGTACTATGATACTATGGTTCCTTTTTGGCCGTGGAAGTTTTATCCGAATGGCTTTGGTGAATGAGAAAATGACAATGCGGATCAGAAGCTAAAGCGCACGAACTTTTCTTCGGAAAAATTTCATCTTTCATTTGGTTGGGTGTTCGGAGAGTTCCGCATTAGAAAAGCCTACTGCAAGTCAACGCTGTAGCTTACTGTTCACACTTACGACATTCCCTAGGTGGTTCGGGGAACTTTGCTCAATATAAAAAAAGCCTTTTCGTGACAGCGCGCGTCCACATACAGTAATTATCGGAGCGTCTGGCGGAGTGCACGTTTTGGCGCCGCGCCAGCCGCCAGCAGTGGCTGACCGCCCCATAGTGACAGCGACTAGTCGAAAGAGCTGGCCACGCGCCTAAACGTATATACGCTGGCAAGCTTCCACATGACGCATTAGTAGCGAGTGTATACCAGTTATTTGAGACACATTGACGGGGCTGGGTATCGAAATCTTGCCTCATCATCCACATTCGAAAAACCTCGTCCCAGAAGGCTCCCAATCCTTCGATTCTCTAGCCCATTGCTTGAAGCATGAGAAA